AACACTGAGCTAATGTGCTTGCCTTATGAACCCAAACATCCTCTGAAACTTCCCTGTGTACCAAGAGTCCCAACTGCCCTGGATTCAGATGCAATAACCTCCATCTGCTTCTAATTACTTCTATGTCGCAATTATGCATTTTCAGTACAAAAACCTGTGGCATAACAAAAATGTGGAACAAGGTGAAAATAAGTTGAATTTAATATGAAAATAAACAAGAGCTAGTGATTTGACTGTATTTTTCAATAAAGAACAATCAGTTTTAAAATTTGCCACAGTATTTACATTTTTGCTGCACTGTAGTGCAGCAGAGGCCTGGCATCTTGCTGAAGCTTGCCATGGAGTACATGAGATATGATTACGAGGCAGCACTTGGAACAATTACAAAATTGATAGTTATGAAGCTATTAAATCTTTGGGAAAAGAAAACAGAAGGAAACCACCACATTTCAGAATTCCAAGTCCAAGAATAAAAACAAAGGGAAACCTGATCAAATTACAGCTACAGAACTAGCTACAGCAAGAGGTAAATTAAAACTATGCATCACAGAATTTCTCGCCTATTTATCTAAAGGTCTCCTAAAAGCAGTTTGTTTGGTGGGGTATGTCCTATCCACACACAATAGCTATGAGGAGGACAGGCAGACCTATGGTTCGGATTTACCTTTTGATTTGCGTCTGCATTTATGAGGCTTTTTGCCTGATGGAAATAGAGCTAAATTAAAAAAAACAAGAATGAGAATAAAAAATTATGTTTAAGTATCAGCTATAAAGCAAAAGATACAGAAAAAAAGACAGAAAATCACAGAAATTCTATTGCTCAGATAAGAAATATGTTAATAAAACTCTCCCCAATATTAGTGATTGGCATGAAAACAGACAGATAGAAGAGCTTTGGTCTTGTCTCACAACAACTCCTCTTAAGGTTCAAAACATTCACTTCCTCCAGCTTCTTATTTTTACCATCAGAACAGGGCTTTGTAAGACAATTAAAAAAGTTATGCACGGAAGAAAAAAGTTAGTAGTTGTTACCCCATGTATTTCCCTAAGCATTTAAATATTTAAGTAGCTCAAAAACTCTCATTGAAGATTTTTCTGTTGGAAATTATTTAACTAAATCAAAATGTTTCACAGGGACTGTTAGAAGGCTTTTCCTTTACCCTCTCCCCGGTTCTTGTCATGAAGACAGAAAGCAGAAGACCAGAAGTCCGAAGCGCCAGCAATGCAATGTTTATTGGGGTTAGTTTTCAGCAAGCAGGTGTTGTCCCATAACTCTGACGCCACAGAGCCTTGTTTCCCAGTATTCCATCTTCCCCCTCCTCAACAGGCATAATTATACCTAGGGCCCTACCAAATTCATGGTCCATTTTGGTCAATTACACGGTCATAGGATTTTTAAAATCGTAAATTTCATGATTTCAGCTATATAAATCTGAAATTTCACAGTGTTTGTAACTGTAGGGGTCCTGACCCAAAAAGGAGTTTTTTTGAGGGGGTCACAAGGCTATTGTACGGAGGGTTGCGGTACTCCAACCCTTACTTGTGTCCTGCTGCAGGTGGCAGCGCTGCCTTCAGAGCTGGACAGCTGGATAGCGGTGGCTGCTGGCTTGAGCCCAGCTGTGAAGGCAGAGACGCCACCAGCAACAGCAGCGCCGAAGTAAGGATGGCATGGTATGGTATTGCCACCCTTACTTCTGCGCTGCTGCCTGCAGAGCTAGGCAATTGCCAACAGCTGCTGCTCTCCGTCTGCCCAGCTTTGAAGGCAGCGTTGCTGCCTACAGCAGCGCAGAAGTAAGGGTGGCAATCCCGCAACCCCCATAAAATAACCTTGTAACTCCCCTGCAACTCCTTCTGGATCAAGACCACCAATTTGAGAAACGCTGGTCTTCCACGTGAAATCTGTATAGTACAGGGTAAAAGCACACAAAAGACCAGATTTCACAGGGGGAGACCAGGTTTCATGGTCCATGACACATTTTTCATGGCAATGAATTTGGTAGGGCCCTAATTATACCTGAAATGCACGCCCACAGTCCCACCCCTTGCAACTTATAGTCATGTTCCATTTTGGGGGGTTGAGAGTCTGGAGTCTTCATCCCACCCCTTTTGTACCCCATGGGAGGGGTAAGGCATGAGGTTGTGCTACGGTCCGGGGCAGGTATTTCCCTGGTCTTTTAGTGTTTTACCTTCCCCCTTCAAACCCCTCTTGCCCCTCCCGAATGGTTGCTTGACCTTGCCTTGAGATAAGGAGTTGAGGCAGTCTTCAAGTGTGCACTCATATATTATACTTCCACCATGCCCAGTAACACTTTAGCTACTCTTATCTGTTCCCATTATACTAACAAGCCCATCTGGCTTAGACAAAAGCAACATACACAGTATTTTTGTCACATATTAGTAAGGATCCCTCTGTTACACATACAGTAAATTAAATAGGCAAGCAAAAATACAAAAAAATTAAATAAGCAAGCAATACCCAAAATAATATTTCAGGTGAAAATACAGGCCTGGATCCCACATTGGCACTAGCACTGCTAACAGGGATGTACAAACTATTAAAATTTTGATGGGAAATTAGCAAAACATTTTGTTTTAACTTTATCATTTTATTCTATTATAAACTGTAATATACCAGCAATTAAAAGTTGAAATGTCTTGAGAAGATCAAAATGAAATATTTCAGAATATTTGATTTCACAAAAAATTCCAAGATTTCAACTTTTCCTCCCGATCTGAGATGAAATGAAAATTTCAAGATCTCAGAATATCTCAGAGTATGGGGAATTCCATTTTTCAACCAGCTAATAATAGTGCACTTGCAACCAGTTCAGATTACTTTTCTGCAAAAAGTAGCATAATCAAACTAAAACACAAAAACATTAAGTGAAACTAACTCATGTTCAAGTACATATGAACAACTAATTCAGGCCCCGATGTAGTAAAGTGCTTAAATCCATTCCTATTAAGGAAAGCAGTTAAGCACGTGCTTTAATCCTACTGACTTCATGTGCTTAAATGCCTTTTCTAAATAGGTGTGCTTTTTGAATGAAGACCTAATTTAGTAACAATCATTTTAACTTTTTATATGGTATCTAAAAAAAAAAAAGAAGATCTGCTTTATTTAATGAGTTCATCTGTAACCCAAACATCAGCACCCTTTATGTCAATTTGTGTGAAGATTACTAAACAGAAATTGATCTGTTTCATATAAGAACTTGGACTTTTTGCATGAAATTCAGATCAGGCAACCTCTCTTCATTCCCACCCCAAAAAAATTAAAGGCTTGGCTTCTTAAAAGAAAACAACAAATGCTTCTTTTGCTGACACCTGGCATTTTCCTTCAATTTTAACGTAAAGGATTACATTATTCTATCTGGCATCTGCAAATAGTGAAAAGGTTATTTACACATGTATAAGGTACTGAAATGTTTCCACATAGTTATGGTATTTCCCCCTCTTATTGTGAGATGCAACCTTAGCAGCAGAAAGTGCTGAGAGCACCATTTTATGACTCATCGTGCCTAGTACCCCGTTATGGTACCTTAAATGAATTTACGTTGCCACAGTACTCATGGCAGAACCAATGCACTGTCATGAGAACCAGTCCCCCAGCAAAACTCTCTTAAGATTAGAGCTTTCGTGGCTTCTGTAACTTACTGTTCAGTGTGTACTGTGTCCCCTTCTGTACCTGATCTATATCTCCCAGCTAGGAATATTAAATTTAGGCTGCAAAAGTTTATAATTCAGCTTGAGACATCTTGGAGGGGTTAATCCCCCCAAATGACCCGTAGTTACAATAGTATAAATCCAAAAAATATACATATCAGGCCTTGAAGCAGGAACTCTAGAAAGAAAAATTCGTTGCTAAGCAAAAAAATAGGAAAACAAAACATCAAAAACATGAGATCGCTTTCTCTAGCAACACAACCAGAAAAGTTATTTGCACATTGTGGAGGGTAAAAGCTCCCACAATGCTTCTACATGGAGATATTTTATCGGCAAGAGCACAATCCATCTCCCCAGTATTAAGAGGCAACAAATTGGGGTGGATAGCTCAGTGGTTTGAGCATTGGCCTGCTAAACCCAGGGTTGTGAGTTCAATCCTTGAGGGGGCCATTTAGGGATTTGGGGCAAAATCAGTACTTGGTCCTGCTAGTGAAGGCAGGGGGCTGGACTCAATGACCTTTCAAGGTCCCTTCCAGTTCTAGGAGATAGGATATCCCCATTTAAAAAAAAAAAAGTGCTAATTAGAGACAAACATAATAATGCATATAATATCTTGTTCATCAGTAGATCTCAAAGCACTTTAAAGGACATAAGCCTCATTGTTCCCTTTTTATATATACAGAAATTCAGGAAAAGAGGCAATGCGATTTGCCCAAGTTCATCAAGCAGGCCAGTGGAACAGAACCCGGGTCTCTCGAGTTCCAGTCCACTGCTCTATCCATTAGGCAACACTGCCTTTCCTAGTATTTTTGTTATGTGAACCCATGGTCTACTGAGAATTTGACTGAGCCCAGTAACTCAGGCCACCAGTCAGTCAAAAAGTGAATGTTTATGAACCAGGACTGGCTTTAAATTACTTATCTGGTGAACAATTAATGTGTATACAGAGATTCAACATTCTGAAATTACTTTGTATTGCAGTATTAAGTTAAATTTAGTAATAAGCACTACCATCTCATTTAACAAATAAAGACTTTTTAATGAAATCGAAATGAGGTCAAAACTTTCCTCTTTGTGGCATTTTTTTTTTTTTTTTTTTTTAAAAAGGGATGCAGAAAATAATTCTAGGAGTTAAAATCCTGTGCTGTATACTGTACGGGACACCATGAACAAACTTTTACTTCTGAGGAAAACAGAAATTATACTGCCATGAAATTTTGATGCAAAGTATTCAAGTTACATATAGGTTGGATGTGGGTGACAGATCAGACATGAGACAAAATGAATTCTTAATCGCTGCTGTTGTAACATTTATGTCATTGATTACTGCTTACCTGTTACCTGGGGCACATATGGCACCGACAATCTTTCCACACTGTATCCACTGCCGCCTAATGATTCTGCAATCTTGTTTGTCAGGAAAAACAAGTTTTTTTCATGCTTCTCCAAAGATTTGGGAAGACTGTCAAATAATATATATTTAGCAATTAATATTTATTGATACAGATCTATACATGTAATAAAATAAATCAAGATCATATTGGAAGTCAATTACCACCTAAAGAGGAGTCGTGTTGATGTTTCGATAGAAAGGAACATAGTTAAATTGGTTGTTAATTGATATATTCAAAGCTCTAATTTCTCTGTACATTTAAAAAACTATTACGAGTCCCGTTAACACAACACACCTAGACGATTTGCAACTTAATCATTGCTGTTTATCCTTCACCTAGTCTAGGAGCTGCTAAAATATTCTTGGCCTCATTTTGATCCACCAGTTCAAAGTAATTGCAAATGAAATAGATGTTCTAATAATCAGATCAGTTTACATTCAAGAATAACTTTCCCAATCATCTTTTATGGATCTGAAAGATGATGATGTAGATAACGATTCTATTATTAAGTGTGGCTCTACACTTCTGAAGGGTTTAGGATACCATGCTACATTTAAAATTACACAGAGTACTAATAAAATACCTTATATTACTCAGACGGTTTAGCATCAACATGCAACTTACTTCTGACTAACCTTTTATTAAGAAATTAAAATTGAGATTTCCCATCTTATCTTTAATATTACATTTTTCTTCCCCAGTTTGTGTATCATTACCCTTTCTGTGCCACTTTTCCATAGATTCAACCTACTCCTATGATGTACAATTGTTTAATCTCACTAAAGGGAACATTAAAATGCATCATCATTCATTCTATTATAAATATTTGTATCTACATACATGCGCTTGTCTTTGAAGATGTTTTCTGGTAGAAAATAGGGTGCTTCCACAGTTCGTGTTTCAATGACCTGAAAAACAAGCACAGTAATGCAAGCTGTCTTGGAGTGAATGAATTAAACTTTTCATTCTTATACTTACATATTTAATATTTATTTGTCCATACAGAATATTGCATATATTGTATAGCAGATGCCACCACAATGGTACATTACTGGTTTGAATAGGTTAAGATATGTTTTCCCCTAAACTAACCAATATCTAAAAGAACTGTTTTATTTTAGACTGTCTGCTAGATTCTCAGTTGTCATAAATCAGCATGGCTTCTCTGAAGGCAACGGAGCTATATGTTTTACACTAGCCGAGGATCTGGCCAATAAATATAAAATTTCAATGATAATGAAAAGTAATGTAGGTGAACAAAATTAAAACGCTACACTAGAAGAGGTGAAAAATTAACTGTACAATTGTTTAATTGTTGTAGTGTGTGAAATGCCATGCTAACTATTGAAGCGACTGATTTTATACTACCTTGCTGACATGCTGGCAAAAGGCAGGGACTGCAATCATCTGACTTAGAAAGTTGAGGTAGGCTGCAACCAGTGCCATGACACCACAGCGATTGAACATTGGCAAGTTATCCTCATTAATGATGACGATATCCTATAATAAAAAGGAAAACATCAAGTGGCCAAACGTTTACAAGTTATTCTGAATGTACATGAATGTTTCATAATCACTATGTGTACACTACTAACTAGTAACTAGTGCTTAATGCCTTCATCTGCATGTCTCAGTGCAGTTCAAATACATAGCCTCTTAACATTCTTGAAGTAGGTAAGCAATAGCCTCATTCTACAGGTGGGAACAACTAATGTAAGGGAATGTAAGGACCCACAGTTACACCATGAGTATGGTAGAGCAAAGCACAGGGACCCAATTCAACTCTATCCCCATAGGATATGAATAAGTCTACTGAAATCTCTGGGGGTTACTTCCTTCTCCACCATGGGACATGTCTTTTGACACGTAGTCCTGTGTCCTCCCCATAAGACCCCCTTCCCCATCCTAAATACAGCATTTCCAGGGAATTAGAATGTTATTTTAAAACATAACTTTTACAAGATGACTTAAAAACAGACAAAATATTGGCATGAGTCACAGGCAAAACATATCAAAAACATACATAATAGCTCCTTAATCTTCACAGTGGTTAACTGTTAGAAAGGTGAAGTGACTTGCTTAGGACCACATAATGAATCACTGGAAAAGCCAGGATTAGAGCTCAGGACTGATTTCTACCCAGATTCTTCTACTGCGCCAATAACCATGGTATCTAAACTGTTGAATCCACACTCCTGTTCATTCTTCCAGATCACACTGCCTTTCTACTGTATTTAGCAACCTTTTAGTAAAGTCTTATTTTATTTAATTTAATAAAAGAGACCCACACAAAATTTTAGCAGTTTGAAAAAGAGGCACTTATTTAGTTGCCTGTTTTTCAAAGATGCTAGGAAGCTGCTGGTACTCATGCCACATATTTAGATTTCTATCTTGAAAATCTTGGCTCCTGTTTCTGAATATATGCAAAAACCCAATGCAAATTAAAATAATCTCAATATTCAGCTTTTCATATTCATTTATATTTACTTATAGAGTGACTGGATTTATGGCTCATTAGAACAATCTGTAACCCACTAATCTTCCTTTGTCCCATGACTGGAGAAATGTTAACTGGTCACTTCACTTTGAATGGTCTCTTGCAACATGTGTTAACTCCGTATGTTAAACAATCTGTTCCACCTTGTATTTGCCTGAGACACTGGCTGCCTTTCCGAGACCTGAAGAAGAGTTCTGTGTAAACTTGCTTCTTTCACCAACAGAAGTTGGTCCAATAAAAGATATCCATAAATTAAATAAATAAATCCATTAATGGATTAACCCAAGTATCATTCCTGAAGCTTACCTGCAAAGCAATGGCCAATCGAATGAGGTCAATAACCACTTCTTCATTGGCTAGTTCGATTGTTATAAGAGCTAGAGACGTGTACAGCAGCTCAAAATTCTTTTGGACATTATCTTCTTCTTTACAGCCTAAGTAGATGTGCCTGTACAACTGCTGCCCATGCTATAAAAAGTGCAGAAAAGGGGACATTCAATACTGCAAAGATACTGTCAATAAAGATTATTTTAAAATACACCAAAACAGGTTATTAAACAAAAGAGCACTACCTTTCTACCTTGAGTGCAATTTTACAGTAATATGCCATTTTATGTGAACACAATTTTAAGTCTTATATAAATAGCTCAAAATAGCGGTTCACTGCTCCAGGCCAATGGGGGCTGCAGGAAGCGGCGCAGGCCGAGGGATGTGCTGGCTGCTCTTCCTGCAGCCCCCATTGGCCTGGAGCGGCGAACCGCGGCCAGTGGGAGCTGCGATCGGTCGAACCTGTGGATGCGGCAGGTAAACAAACTGGCCAGGCCCGCCAAGGTGCTTACCCTGAACAAGCGGCGGACTGGCTTTGAGAACCACTGGTTTAAAAGACAAAAAAGTCATACAGAACATTATACAGGAATCATATATATCCTCTGCCAGGTTTTACATTGACATGAAGTATTCACTAAAACGAACATTTACATCAGTTTATGGAAGTGGGGGGAGGGAACGGAATGAAAAAATAGATCTTAGCCATGTTTGAAAATTTTACCAAAGTGACTAACAAGCCCAAGCCCCATTTTCCCACTTAAGGAGCCTAAATCCCATTGACTTTTAGTGAGAATTAGGCTCCCAATTGGCTAAGCCTCTTTTGAAAATAACACATTGACACATTTGAAAACCATACTTTTTACCTTCTTGTAGAGGGAACCAAATCACAGTAACATTACAATTAAGGAGTCTATAATTATCAATCTACACTTCCAAGCAATGTCCTAAGCATCAGCCAAATCTATTCTTTAAAGAAGTGATTATTTCAAGGCAAAGAATGAACATATAGTAAGAATGATCTAGAAAGACCATTCCTTATGCAACTGTCGGCTCATGGTTTTTCTCTTTTCTATGGAATGCCCTGACATGCCCTTGCAGATGATAGACAAATGTATGTAGCAGAGGTATTAACATCACTCAACATCAGTTAGCAAGAGAAAATAAAGGTTTAAAATTACAGGGATCCAGATGGATTCAGTTCTTCGTTCTACAAATGGCAGCTTACTATTTCAAAGCTGCAGCGGCCTAATTGAGCCTGATATTTCTAGCTAGCAAATATCTATATCTCAACAACTGCAATGCTAGTTAGAAAAATCTCTGTTAGGAGGTTGCTAGCAGACATTACTAGTTTTATGTTTCTCAATGGGAGTACTGCATATAAGTGTTTGACCAGCAAATTATTTCTCTACACTAGGGTCTGCATTCTTATTTCAGAAGCTAATACTTCTAAACAAAACTGAATTTTAAGATCTTGTGTCCAATAATGCATGTGATCAAAAATCTAATGATTATGTAGATTTCTTTAAATATGTTTAGGTTTTTTTTCCTTTATTTTTTCCATATGTCATTCACCCTCTCAGACTAGATACGGCAACAAAGGTATTATACATCTATAGCCAGAGCCTGTGACATTAGATACGAAATTATGACTGATCCTGCAGTGAAGGCATAATGAGAAGCAAGTTTGATAGGGAGAAGTCATTTAAACAAACAAGCATAACTCCTTTAATAATATGAGAAATTGAAAAGATACCACAATACAACACTTTTCACAAATTAATTTTGAATGTGTTGCCCGATTTTTTAGTGGTTACTGATTATTATTGATTTCCAATTAAGTACCAATTGAAAGAGCTGGGGATTGTAGGGTACTTATCCCAGAATCGGGCACAACAGAATCAAGCTCATCGAGTTTACTATCTGGTTGGGAACCCAGGTGTGCACAACGTTGACATCCACACTGAGGGCAAAGCAAAGCTTTACTAATTATGCTAATAAAAGTGATTAATGACACAAAGACTCCAAACCACATAAAAAATTAGCAAAAATACAGAGTTAAGATAATATCTTGTACCATTCCTGACATATACTAACACCGCTTCTTGGGGACCTGGCAGTAAGAGATAAAGGTCCTGCTCTGCCCCTGGTATGCCAAACGAGTCCAATGGGTCAGAACACTCCATACTTGGTGGTCTGGCCTCTTATATGGCCATGGGACTGTCATGAATATTCATACAAATGCCCAGCCTTCCTTGTCCCTATCTAACTTCCTCACCCTAATAATATTGGTGTGTCCTTATCCTATAGGTTAGTATATTAATGATTTTAGCTTATCATCATATACGTCAATTGGTTGCCAAGGCAAGCTTGTGGTTAAGCATCTGCCAATGTTTCTATCTTGAAATATCCAAGCCTAGTACCACAGTTAAATGTTCCTCTGGTTACCAGGTATCATTTTGTACAAACTCTCCCCCTTAAGCATACTATGCCCAGTTCCCCAAACTTGGGGTGACTGTTAGGACACTTATCTAAGCTAAAGTTCATAGGCCTCAAAGTCTTATGCTAACTGCTTAAGCTAATGCCTTACAGGATATAGCCTGAAGGTTCCTTGTGTTACTGCTAAGTAAAGTAAAATGCTAAAGCTAGCTGTATGGGCTATAAATGTTGTCTTAAAAAAAAAAAAATCACTGAGGATTAGATCTGTATTGGAGGACCATAATGAAGTTATTGGTGCTCCACATGAGTCTGGGTGCATAGAACTTACTTCAGGATCAGGGCTTAAAGTCGTTGAAGTCCTGATTCTGCAAAGTACCTAACTTCATGCATGCGGGTACTCCCACTGAATGAGAGATTAAGCTGTAAATTCTTCAGTGCACAGAACTGTCTCGGAAATGATTCAGTACCTTGCTTTTAAGGTGCTATAAATTAAAATAAATGTATAAAAGAATTTTATATTGAGGTTTTTAATTTGATGTGAAAACGTTGCAGCAAAGAAAGACGAGTTAATGATTCAGCTACTTTACATGCTCCTTCAAAGGAAAAGATAACTGTTTCATGCTATTACCTTCTTCATGAAGCTCACGTCTTGCCTTGAAATTTTGTCTCGTTTTATCTTTAGATCAGAAACATCTGGTATTATTCTACAAAGGCAACAAGTATGTCATTTTAATAAAATAACCTATTTATAATTTGTTAAGGGAAGTTGTATGGGGAAAAACAGGCTACGTAATATATATGAGCTATTCAAAACATTCTTGCAATTTCCATTTTAATTATATCCATGTTTAACAATCACATTCAATTTTCAGTTTTAAAGGAAGGAAACAAAAGTAATTATGACTCAAACACAGAAGATTGCATTTTACAGAGCAACAACTATCTTCTACAAAGCAAAAATACAATTAAAAACTTAATTAAACCAACAACTATTCAGAACTTCCATTTAATAAATAATATATTAGGGCTTGGACATTGAAGGACAGAGATGGTTCTATCAATATAACTGTTTTCCAGTTTTGCTATGGCAAGGTGGACTACAGTGTTACTAAAATGCATAGTAAACAATAAGACACTGGAAGCTATGTGTATAAGGAACCATATCTAACAACTTAAAGTTTGGGAAAATAGTGCATTAAAATGTTTGTGCTTCGAAAAAAATATAATTCACTATATGCATTACTTTATCATTTGGATATTGAACTAGAAACAATTATTATAACTGAAGCCATTAAAACCAGAACACTACCTTATTCCTCTAAGTTTTGCTCTGTTGTCATGCCGATCAATAAGATTATGCAATATTTCCAAGACCAGCTGTCTTAGTTCAGAGTCTTCCATGAGTGAAGGAGACAATAAAGGATCAAGAAATGGGGCAGGAAGAGCAGCAGCAATAGTCTTTGCATTATATCCTGAAGTCACCTGTTCATTATTCAAGAGAACATAAGTAATACCATTGTAAACCATTATTATGTTAGTAGATAAAAATTATTCTCAACTTCCACTCCATTTCTGAGTGAGCAGGTTTTGTTCAAGTGTTTGGGGGGATAGGTTCATTTGTAAATGCAATTAACTTGGAATTTCCTGACTTGACTGTTTATTCATGCATTCTTAATATTATCTTAAGAGGATTTTTTTAAAAACTAGAATTTCTGGGTCTCCCTCTCCCTGTAAAAAGAAAAATATTTCTTAAGCTGGATATTACAGGAATGCCCTATCCCATGAAAGATGGGCACTGAATGAGGCAACAGTTTGTGCAAAGGTCTGCCTCTTTTAGGGCCTGATCCAATACTCACTAAAGTCAATGGAAAGATTCCCCATTGACTAATTGACTTTGGCTAATGACCTCAAAGCGCTTATTGTACAATTGTATCCATATGGGCAGATCCCTCAGCCTGTGTGAAAGCAGTTCCAGAATCAGCTTCTACATGTTATATTTCAAGCTCCTGGACACAATATGAGATTGGATAATAAATATGTGAAAAAAACTATGCTCCAGGCACAGAAGGTTTTTAACCATTCAATCTAAAGAATGAGGTTAGGAGCCTTCCTCATTCAATGAGTCCCTTAACAGCTGAACCATATATGCAACAAGCTCTCCCTTGTAGACTTATCTAGGTTGCCCAACCACATGTGCAGATGCAATACAGCCTTTCTTTGCTTAGAAAATTGGTAAAAAAAAAAGGAACACATTCATATTGCAAGTGTTGTGTATACAAAACATTCTACTTTCAAACCCTAAAACTTGACCAATTTTACTGGAAAATTTAAATACAACTCCTCTCAATAACAGCAATTTTATGGCTGAATAATTTCCTAGCCACACCACTTTCTGCACTACATCTGTTTTTGAAAAAAGTCGTGATTTTTTTTTTTTAAATAAGTGGTGAAACTTTTCCCCCCACTCTTTGTAGTCAAACAGCTGATTTTTTTAAAAAAAGGCATTTTGGGCAGACGCCAGATCCTGAAATTTCAGCCCTCACTGTCACTGTGCAGCTGTGGGGTACCCCCTGTCACCGCTGGCGGCCTGGAGCTGCGGGGTTACTCCCCGCCGCTGCTGGAGGCCAGGGTTCCCCACAGCTCCTAGCCGCCACGGGCAGTGGGGGGACCCTGCAGCTCCCAGCTACCGCAGCCAAAGTCATGGAGGTCTCTGGAAGTCATGGATTCCGTGACAAAATCGGAGCCTTACCTATTATATAGCAACAATGATCAAAACCACAATCTAAATCACTCTACAAACATTTCGTCCCTTCTACCAATGATGAGTTATTAAAACCAACTGAAACTCATAAGGTGTTTCCTAGAGTCCCGGGTCATTTGGTAAATTTCATATTTAAGTGTAATTTGAATGGCTGAAGAAACGTTAAAGTTTAAAAGACGATATTTGTGAAAAATCAGTATTTCTAATTATGCCTTTTAAGAAGATGAAGGCGGCTTGGGAGGTGAGGCACTAACTGAGTGATGGTGCCTGAAGTGCGATGCCATTTTAAACCACAATGCCTCCTGCGGCTCTGGGTGCTTAATAAGCACCCACTGCTACACCTTAGAAGGGTATAGAAAGTGTTCTACCAATTTCAGCTCTCCTAGTGGTGGAGAGGAAAAAATGTTCCACTTTGAGGTTGCTAGCACTGCTGGCAGAACTAGCCACTTCAACTCCCTGGCATTCTTTGGGCCTACAGTCCCAGTTATGACTGACATCCTCTGAACTATTCTGTGGGAATGGAGGATTAACTTCTGAGCTACTTGTAAAGCACCTGTGCTTGAGCAGCTGTGATTTTACTCTATATATCTACATATCTTGGTAGTGTGAACATGTACACTGCATTTCATAATTTGACTAGAATCAAAATTCCGTGCGTTTACAGAATAAGTTATCTACAGCATTTTTTAGAAAATATATTTAACAAATAAAGCTTACCATAAGTAAAGATCTCAGCAACATGATCTGAATCCGCCTAGTTCCCAAATCCCTAGAATCGGGGGAGATACTCAAAAGTTAGCTTGAATCAATTTCTCTGGATAACTTCAAAATATTATTCAACCACAAATACGGTTTTTAATAATTTCTTGTGTGCCAAGAGAAAACAACAAGCTAGGAGAGCAAGGTACAAGACTAACCAAAAAAGGGTGAACACCTACAAAAGAGGTACAAATAAATGGGTAAAAAACTATTTCAAAGGGATAGTTACAGGAAGGCACACAACTGAGTAAGCAATTAGACACAAAGAACATACAAAGTAACACAGGACGATGCTGTAAATAGAGAGGGGCCTAAATTTCATAAGTTTCCCCAATATTGAATGCTTCCTTATATCAAGTGCTGAACTTGGTATATATTGAGCCTAAATGTCAGAAGTGCCGAGCACTCACAGCTTCCCATGAATTCAAATGGAATTGTGGCTGCTCGGCACTTCTGAAAAATCAGGCCTTCAGTGTCCATGTTGACCACCCAATTTTAAAATGAAAAAGAAGCCATCTGAAGTGAAACGAGTTCAGCATAAATTTTTCCACCATGACTCCTTCTCTTAAAGTCAATTAGTATAGAATGAAGCAGAAAACTTTCTGAATTATTCAGCTGTCTAAAAATTTGTAGCCAGAAGACAATTCAATGACTAAAAGCATACTTCCTAAAAATGTAAGGAATTAATGGAATTAAGTGCAGTGATTTTTAGAAACACCTATATGAGTTTGAAGAGCAGAAATTTTGTAGTGCACATGTAGGGCTTTCCAATCAACTGTAATTAAAGTTGCATTTTGGATGCTGGGTTCATACTGCTGTCAATTGTGTGTGGCTTGTTTCTCTCGCACATTTAATAGAAACCTAGCAGCTGTGAGTTATTTTAAATTCCAATTTTTAAAATTTCTACTTTAGCAGGGCTTCAGAACAGAAAAGAGTTTATATTCAGAAGCTCAAAAAAAAATCAACGAAGTACAAACCCAAGGTGGCTGGTATCCAGCGAATGTGAGGATGTCCCAAAAACAGGTACTTTCCCCATAACGAACATCATAATCTCTGACCGCTGGTAATCTGGGAGATTGCTCCCAAAAAACCCTAAATAAAAATGGAGAGAAAGATGACATTTCAAGCTACTCTCTTTATATTACAGAGGTTAATAAATGTAAGGAATAAAATATCTACTCTATCTGGGTCTCCTGTACCTTTTGCAATTTTCTAGTTTGTATTACGGCTGTAATAGATAGCGGAGTCATCATCTGTGCAACTCTGCCCATTAGTATACACCAGCTTGTCACGACTGCCTCATTCTCCCTCTTCCCCACAACACACACTTTCTAGTCTCATCTTTCCTGAGTAATTATACTATTTAAACCACGGCATTTGACATTAATTGCAAGGTAACAGAATATTCAGGAGCTGGAAATTTTCCAAGCTAGAACAAAATTTAATTCAATTCCTTACCTTTGCACTTTCCTATGCTATTATTAAACATGAATGGGGTGCTCAAAAAAGAACTCTTACAAAAATATGACTATGCTCTTTCTTCACCTATCAACTACAATACAGTAATGAGCAACAGAGGGTCCTGTGGCACCTTTAAGACTAACAGAAGTATTGGAGCATAAGCTTTCGTGGGTGAATGCCCACTTCATCAGACGCAAGTAATGGAAATACCTGCCTCTGGAAATTTCCATTACTTGCGTCTGATGAAGTGGGCATTCACCCACGAAAGCTTATGCTCCAATACTTCCGTTAGTCTTAAAGGTGCCACAGGACCCTCTGTTGCTTTTTACAGATTCAGACTAACACGGCTACCCCTCTGATACAATACAGTAATGTTAAATCTGGATTTTTGAGCTAGAAAGATTTCTAAAACCATGACAAAGTTTTTCTGAAGGAAGTTGAGTCTTACAATGAAGTTGAGAAATAGTTACTGCAGTCGTAAAGTTTAAGGTATAGAGAAATTTTAAAAACAGATTAATTTTCCAAATTTGCTGAACAAAAATTTGAGGGAATCAGATCTAAATAATTGGGGGAAATTTAAAGTAATAATTTTAATTAAATGCATAGCAACACAAATAGCACTAAAATAACAGGAATGTCTGAAAAGAGAGAAGTTATGCTAATGAAATTATTTACAGAAGTGGATGCTAAAACAGAATTTTGTGTCTCTTGGAAACATTGCAGTAACCCTATAAATACAAGTGGCCATTAGGTGTCATTGTTGCGGCTATGTTTGATTTTTGAACAAGTTTCCAAGCAGTAACACTTAAAATATATCTCACTACTGCATACTGTGATGCCCAGGTGGTTTTCATATCATATAGATATCGTATACATATGAATGATACACTGCATACATTAATATATGGAAATTTAAGACAGCAGCTTTATATTTCAAGGGTTATGTTTTAGGTAAGAGGCATAAACCCATAGGTTTTATTTGTATTTTTCCAAAGCACAATATTCATCAGCAATATGACTCGGCCAAAGTGACAGAGTTCCATTTTTATTGTGTGTCAGTGACTGAAATCTTATTTGCCCAGTTAACAAGTAAAAAGACAGCTCCCTCTAACTCTCAACCCCACAAACCCAGCCTGTGTTCTAAAAGCTGGTGCAGTCAGACACCTTATTCTTATCTTGGTGGGAGTGAGGGGAAACAGAGAAGAGTTGAATGGCAAGACCTTTACTTAGAGGAGTGCTCTGTGTTTAGACTTCATACCCATGTCAGTTTTTAAGTGAGTCCATGCTCAACGGAAAAAAAACCCTTCACTCACCAATTGTTTGAATAATGGCATTCTGGACAATCCTCTCGTCGCTTTCTTTGGAGCTTGTGCTGAAACTGGCACTGCCAGTTGAGCTACGCCTCTCACCTAATTCAAAATCAACACTGAGACGCAAGTGCTTCAGTAGGGTATTAAACACTTCCAAGACAGTTGGGCCTGTAAAGTAATAGATGATAATGGCTGTAGTTTAAAAATGAAAAATGCCTAACAAAACTAGACACGTCTTCAACAATCCCTCTTCAAGAGAGCTGTAGATTATGCTGAAAAGCACAGGTGAACTTGATTTGTTTGAAGGAGAAAGTAAGCAGTCAGAAACGCAAAGTCTTCAACACAAAACCACAGGGAGCATTATGGCTATTTTAAAGATGGCAACACTCTTTATAAGCAGGTATAAGAGTGAAAATCTGTCCCTGAGTCTCTTTTGAAAATGGGACTTAGGGTAAATTTTTCACGCACACATCTAAGTCCCTGATCTTTCCAGTCTAAGAGCTTGATAACAGTAACATTTAAATGCATATTCTCATTGAAGTCTGAAGCTTTGTCTACATTAGGAAAATTAACTGCTGCTAACAGGTGTCATCAATGGATGCAACTGAACATACATACACTTGCAGTTACATTAAGAACACACTGAGTTAAATGGTTTCAGAAACCTCAGTTAAATCCTGCTTCATTTCTAGGCTTAGGGTTCCAACCCAGTTTTGACCACTGTTTCTGAGGTGGTGTTGAATGGTTTGTCCTTGTCTACACTTGCTTTTAAACCTTTTCAGCTCAACCTTCTGTTGTCAGCAATGGATTTTTTCACATTGTAGACAAGGCTAATAGGTCTATTTGTGCAAGTAGGACCACCTTACATCTGGAAGAATCAGGCCCTTGCTTAAATCAACAATGAAAAACAAACTGCAAGCAATAGAGAAAACAAAGCAGAAAAAAAAAAGGAGCTCTTAGGTTAGAGTAGTTCCCACAGAGTAAGTGATTTGATTGGCTTCAGTTTCTTGTTGGTTCCTCAGATTTTATAAAAACATTAACAATTATTGTTATACATAATGAAATTGTGTATTTCAAGGGTTATTGCTAGAAGGGAGAGAGTTAAATGTTACACAAGATCACAAAGGCTGCATAGGAATAGCATTGAGGAAAGCATGAAAATGGGAGAGGGAGACTGATATGTCTTCCAAATAATTTAAAAGTTCCATTATACACAAGCCTCACAATTAAGTTAAATAAATTTCCCCATTTAGGAAATTAAGCGTGTATTTAACTCCCAATTTTTCAAATTAAAAACAATTTAAAATGATCAGTTGTATGATGTGCCCATTTATGAAGTTCTAAATATATTTTCAATGGCAAATTTATCTGGAAACCATCAATATAACTGTGTGTGTTTTCAGATTCTGAAGAGCACAGTGCATTTTGGAACACTACTTTCCATGCATTCAGAGCATAACAGAATTAAGCCACCATCCCAAAGTACATTGTTGGGTCAGTAGCAGCCTGTAGGAAAGCTGAAGAGTAGGCTTTTTCAGATACCTTTCATTAAGGCTAATAGAATGTCAATTACTAATGAGACACGTGACAAAATGAAAAGCAACACTGAATCACATAACCGTAATGCATTCACTGATGGTTGGAGCCTAACATTGATTTTATAATTATGAAGGATTATCACAATGGAGAGATTATCCCACGGATCTGTAGTGGAACCTGTGCTGTTCAACATGTTCATAAATGATCTGGAAAATGGGGTGTGCAGAGAGGTGGCAAAATTTCAGATAGTTAAGTTCAAAGCTGACTGTTAACAGTTACAAAGGGATCTTAAAAAACCCAGGTGACTGGGCAACCAAATGGCAGATGAAATTCAATGTTGATAAGCGCAAAGTAATGCACAACAGAAAAAGTAATCCCAACTATATATACAAAATGATGGGGTTTAAATTAGTTGTTACCACTCAAGAAAGATCTTGAAGTCATTGTGGATAGTTCCCCAAAAACATCTGCTCAATGTGCAGCGGCAGTCAAAAAAGCAAACAGAATGCTAGAAACTACTAGGAAAGAGATAGATAATCAGACAGAAGATATCAGAATGCCATTATATAAATCCATGGTATGCCCGCACCTTGACTTCTGCGTGCAGATCTGATTGCCTCATCTCAAAAAAGATACACGAGAATTAGATAAGGTAGAGGAAGGCAACCAAATGGTTAGGGGTATGGAACAGCTTCCATATGATGAGAGATTAAAATGTTCATCTTAGAAAAGAGACGACTAAGGGGATGGGATATGATAGAGGTCCATAAAATCAAGAATTGTGTGGAAAAAAGTAAATAAAGTAGTGTTATTTACCCCTTCACAAAACTTAAGAACCATGAGTCACCCCCCCTAATTAATAGGCAGTAGGTTTAAAAACAAACCTAAGGAAGTACCCTTCATACAACACAGTCAACTTGTGGAACTCATTTCTGTGGGATGCTATGAAGGTCAAAAAGTATAACTGGGTTAAAACAAAACAAAACAAAAAAACCCCTGGATAAATTCAAGGATAATGGGTACATCAATGGCTATTAGCCAAGATGGTTTGGGAGGCAACACAATGCTCCAGATGTACTTAAGTCTCCAACTGCCAGAAGCTGGGACTGAACAAGGGGATGGATTACTTGATGATTGCCCTGTTCTGCTCATTCCCTCTGAAGCATCTGGCACTAGTCACCGTTGGACAGAATACTAGGCTAGATGGACCATTGGTCTGACCCAATATGGCCACTCTCATGTTCTAAGGATCAGTATTGATACATATATTTAGTGCCATAAGAGGCACCTCCCCAAGTGGGTGCACTGCTGTGTCTCAATTTCTCCTCCTATTTAGGGCTAGACAAAATCAGAAACATAATATTGAATTTTATCACAAAGTCTCTCCGCTAGGGTTTCATTTATTAAACATAAAATTCAGCATTGTTCCTGGGCTCCTCAAGTCCCTTTTGGTTCTTCCCCAGAGTTTCACAATTACCAATCTATCAGGGCTTCACCGAATTTCCTTACCAAGGACTCTCAACTGTCCTGCTACAAGGGTCCTGCCCCAGCTCCTTCTGTGGAAGGAGCTCTGCCAGTCCCACTCTGGGCCCTTTGGCCACTGCTCTTCACTTAGAAGTTTTCCTTCTGCCGGTCATTGTGGAGACTCTTAGACCTTGGTTTCTCTCTAAGCAACAGCCCTTGTCTCTCTCACATAATTACTCAAGTCTACATCCCCTAGAATTCCTGCTTGTAAAGGGCTGAGGCCCTCTAACCGCCATGGTAGGCCACACCTGCAGTTATAGGACCAGCGCTCTGGAACAAGCTCTAAGTGCTGAACAAAATTTAGGTCAAGTTCCACCTACACCAAAGAGAGAATGGAAAATCTGATTTAATTATGGATTTGAAAGAAAAGCTAAAAATGGTAAAAAAAATAAGCCAACAGTTTAAGTTTTTATTCAATCTGAAATTCATTGAAATAGTTCATTGGTTTCATAAAATTCATTTACCATGACTCACCTATGGATCCTTTAGCAGCAATGGCAACTGCTTCCAAAAGAACCTGAATAATGCCTGCTCGGACTCGTGGCGAATCCCTTTTGCGAGCATCAAGGTGTCCAAGAGTCTCCTGTATTACATGATGGGAGTATTGTGCCTATAAAAGAAAAAAAAATGGTTTGTTATCTTTAATTAGAAAGGAAAGTATCTCCACACACAAATATTCAGCCCTGAACTCAGACTAATAATCTTGAGTGGTGTTCCTCTTCTCTTTAGCTCTGCTTTTGGGCACAATTATACATTTCTAAATTCCAGTCAAGAAAGAGCTTGACTAAAGGTGGATAAAGGATGCCAGGACCATTTTCCATTAGTACCCCTCATCTCTAAAAAATTTCTCAGAATGAGCGCAGCCTTATTTAAGTGGTACACTGATGGAATGGCAAATATTAGTTGTATCACTTGGATCAATAGTTTGAGTTAATAAAGTGACAATTCTTTGCCTTTTGGATGTGTGTGCTGGTTATGACCTGAAGTCAGTTTTATTCTTCCTCCTTCCTCACACCTAAAAATCTGACAACATATGGGATTAGATACTCAACAACTGTGATTCTTGGTCACCGTTACAGGGTTAAACTGTTTGACAACTACTGGAGGATGAGATCGAATTTTCCTATAAGGCACATAAATGGCAGGGACATTGTATATTCTTTGCCTTCATCTACCACCAAATAGAGATTGACCATTATGAGTAAGGCTGTGAGTTTGCCAAGGAGGTCACGGATTCCATGACTTTCCGTGACTTCTGCAGCGGCTGGTGCTGGCTCAGTGGCTACACGGCTCTGGCAGCACCTGGGCCAGAAGCAGCAGTTTGGGTGTGTGGGAGGGGGTTCAGGGCTAGGGGATTGAGGGAGTGCGGGGGGGCACTTACCTCGGGATGGGGGGCTCCCCGGCTTCCACTGGTATGGCCCTGCAGCTCCTAGGCAGTGGAGGGACGGGGCTACACGCCGCACACTACCCGTGGGTACCGCCCCCGCAGCTCCCATTGGCTGCGGTTCCTGGACAATGGGAGCTGCGGCAGCCAGCGCTTGTGGCAGGAGCAGAGTGCCGAGCCCCCTGGCCCCTCCGCCACCTAATTGCTGCAGGGACGCGGAGCCGGGTAGGGAGCCCCTGCCAGCCCCGCTAACACTTCCCCCTCAGCACCAGCGGGGGTCCCAGGCCATGCTGCCTGGCCACTCCCCACCACTACCAGCGGGGTCCTGGGCCACCTCCCTCAATGCCCCCGGATCGCCCCACCCAGAGCACCCGTGGCCCCCCACCCAAGATTTACTCATGGGTATTTTTAGTAAAAGTCATGGACAGATCAGGGGCAGTAAACAAAAATTCACAGCCTGTGACCTATCCATGACTTTTACTAAAAATACCCGTGACTAAAACGTAGCCTTAATTATGAGTAAGCGAGCATATAATTCATTTAGTCAGCTTTGTTCTTATGGTACGTACAGGCCTAATCACTGGACTAGATCAAACCTACCTGTATAGAATACATGATGATTTTGAAGCAGGAGACAGCAAATTCATTGGGGTCCCATAGTCTGTGATGGTCTAAATGTCTGTAACAAAAAAAACAAAAAACATCAGTTTTTCCCAGTGTTTGTTTTTTATACTGGTTCTTGACAAAATTATGGATTCTATTCTAGCAATTGGTTTTCAGTCATTTTAAACTGAAAGTCCTGTTTGTAATGATGAGACTATTTTTGTGGTCCCATTTATCATTGCTGTATATCAAAAGATTTTCAGCTAGTTAGCTCTTAAATGATGGTTTTGTGATTACAGAAGAGGACTGGAAGTCAGGAGACCCATGTTCTATTTGCCAAAACCTCTGGCCAGAATGTTGACATTTGGGTGTCTAAAGTTGGTCACCTTAGTTTCTATTTAGGAACCTAAACATAAAATACCTTTATTATCAGAGGTACTGGGCATTCACAGGTCCCTCCGAAAGCAACCCCCCTGTAAGATAAGGAAGTATCCCAATCTTGTAGTTGAGGAAGCTGAGGCATAAAGGCCAATATTTTGAAAAGTCATAGTTCGAGTATATGATCGTATGGGTTCTCCACCATAGGATGTGCACATGCCCATGCACTCTCAATCAGAGACTGCACAGTAGTGACTGCAAGCCTGTGCCTGCACAGAGCAGTATCTTGTGCTTTGAGCAAGGGCATTTAAGGAAGCGAAAACTCGTTGTTGCTCAGTTTCTTCTCAACAGCCTGCGGCATCAGGACACAGCATTCTGATTTACGTGCTGCAACGAAAAGACGCTTTAGTAGATCCCAAACCACTCAGATCCAGACCATTCTAGTACCACCAGCACACTTTCTGCACACCTCAGGAGACCTTCCAGAAAAGAGTCAAACTGCAGAGACAGGGATCTTCCACCCGTACTTCATAATCTGCCCATCCTTCTAAGAGGCGCTTTTGACATCTCGGTTGAGGGCATCGACCAACCTATTCCACTGGATCCTCTGTTGTGCAACTATAGCCCCTTTGGAAACTGACTGTCTTACTTCTTGCTTGCCTGGGAACATCCTACTTCAGACAAGTGGACATTGGAGGTCATCCACTTCCATCCTATCCCTCCCCTCCACCCTCTTCAAGGGCTTCTCAGAAGGAACTCCTAGAATAATTAAATCTCTCCTCCCCGTGGGGGCAGTGAAGCCAGTTCCACTAGAATTCGTCAGAAGATGCTTCTTTTCCAATTGCTTTCTAGATACCAAGAGAGCTAGCAGGTAGAGACCAATCCTTGATCTAAGGAACTTGAACAACTATGTTCTAGCACACATCTCAGAATAGTGACACTAGCTACCAAAATCCCTTCCTGAGATCCAGGAAGATGTTTCGTTGACGTCAACCTTCAGGATACTTTCAAGTAGCGATCCACCTGCTCACAACTGTCTCCTATGCTTTGTAACAGAAACAGATCACCATCAATATCAAGTTTTCCCTTTTGGACTCTCCATTGCCCCAAGGTCATTTACAAAGATTTCCCCAGAGATATCAGCTTGCATCTGACAGTGGTGGAGCTCAGTATTCCCAAACTTGGATGTTTGGCTGCTAAGAGGCCTGCCAGCTCAAGAGGTCCACCCAGCAACATCCAAGACTTAACCTTATTCCAATCTCTGGGGCGCCATATCAATCACTAGAAATCCATACTGGCCCCAGTACAAAAGAACAGACATTACAGGAGCTACCCTAGATTCCACAACAGCCGGACCCTATTTTCTACCCTATCCAATATTATCTCAACACTACAACTGAGCCCACAAACAGCAAGGGTCACATGTCAGCTCTTGGGTCACAGGTCAGCCTCCATGTCTGACTCTCCACAGAATCAGAATCATAGGACTGCAAGGGACCTCAAGAGGGCATCTAATCCAATCCCCTGCACTCACGGCAGGACTAATTATTATCTAGACCATACCTGACAGGTGTTTGTCTAACCTGCTCTCAAAAATCTCCACCAATGGAGATTTCACAACCTCCCTAGGCAATTTATTCCAGTGTTTTACCACCCTGCAGTTAGAAAATTTTTCCTAATGTCCAACCTTGCTGCAATTTAAGCCCACTGCTTCTTGCCCTAACCTCAAAGATTAAGGAGAACAATTTTTCTCCCTCTTCCTTGTAACAACCTTTTATGTACTTGAAAACTGTTACCATATCCCCTTTCAGTCTTCTCCAGACTAAACAAACCCAAATTTTTCAGTCTTCCCACACAGGTCATGTTTTCTAGACCTTTAATAATTTTTGTTGCTCTTCTATGAACTTTCTCCATTTTGCGAGCCTACAACTCAGATGCTTCCAAATGCGGGTAAGAACATAGATTCATAGATTCTAGGACTGGAAGGGATCTCGAGAGGTCATCGAGTCCAGTCCCCTGCCCTCATGGCAGGACCAAATACTGTCTAGACCATCCCTGATAAACATTTATCTAACCTACTCTTAAATATCTCCAGAGATGGAGATTCCACAACCTCCCTAGGCAATTTATTCCAGTGTTTAACCACCCTGACAGTTAGGAACTTTTTCCTAATGCCCAACCTAAACCTCCCTTGCTGCAGTTTAAGCCCATTGCTTCTTGTTCTATTCTTAGAGGCTACGGTGAACAAGTTTTCTCTCTCCTCCTTATGACACCCTTTTAGATACCTGAAAACTGCTATCATGTCCCCTCTGTCTTCTCTTTTCCAAACTAAACAAACCCAATTCTTTCAGCCTTCCTTCATAGGTCATGTTCTCAAGACCTTTAATCATTCTTGTTGCTCTTCTCTGGACCCTCTCCAATTTCTCCACATCTTTCTTGAAATGCGGTGCCCAGAACTGGACACAATACTCCAGTTGAGGCTTAACCAGCGCAGAGTAGAGTGGAAGAATGACTTCTTGTGTCTTGCTCACAACACACCTGTTAATACATCCCAGAATCATGTTTGCTTTTTTTGCAACAGCATCACACTTTTGATTCATATTTAGCTTGTGGTCCACTATAACCTCTAGATCCCTTTCTGCCGTACTCCTTCCTAGATAGTCTCTTCCCATTCTGTATGTGTGAAATTGATTTTTCCTTCCCAAGTGGAGCACTTTGGATTTGTCTCTGTTAAAACTTCATCCCGTTTACCTCAGACCATTTCTCCAATTTGTCCAGATCATTTTGAATTATGACCCTGTCCTCCAAAGCAGTTGAGCTTTGTATACCCCAAACAGTGTATACCCCTATCAGACAAAGCCTATCCAAAAACATTAGTCTCTCAGAGTGTGGAGGAGACTTTCAATGGTGGAAGAACCCACTTAGTCTGTGTTGGAACCCCATTCTCGTATTCTACACCATCAAAGATCTCACCACAGACACCTCTGCTAGGATGGGGAGCGCACTAGCAGGGAGTCACGGCCCAGGGCAAATGGTCTTACAGGAACTGGCACTTCATATCAATATTCCGGAGCTAAGAACAGTCTTATATGCTTCATAATACTTCCTTCATGCCACAAGGGTCACTTAGAGTAATGTTGGACAACTGTGTAGTGATATATTACATCAACCTCGAAGGTGGCACAAGATCACAATTCTTGTGCGCAAAGTCGCTAAGGCTGTGGAACTTGTGTTTCTACCATTGGATATAAATATGAGCAGTCTACCTACCAAGCTTCTAAAATACACTTGCAGACTTCTTGAGCAGATACTTCTGACAAGACTACAAATGAGAACTCAAAGACTCTGTCTTTTGCAGGGGTCTTCCAGGAATAGGCCTCTTCGCCATCCTGAACACCACGAAGTGTTGCCTGTTTCTGCTCCATGGAAGGTTATGGCCATAAATCTCTGGGAGATATCTTGACAATACCATGGCCCCATACTCTTCTTAGCCACCTCTACTACTAATCGTCAAGAGTCTTCTCAAGCTGCGATGAGACACAGCCAGAGCTATTCTCATAGCACTGGGCTAACCAAGACAGGTCTTGTACTCAAACCTCATCCACCTCTCGGAGGTAACACCCCTCAAACTTTCTATCATGAAGGATCTCTTGCCACCGAACTCAGGGATCTTCATTCATGATGGTCCCTCCTCCCCGAACCTGAAAACATGACTCCTCAATAGCGCGAATATGGAGCTAACCTGTTTAGATAGGAATATTGACCTAACTCTATCTAGTAGAAACCTCAAAACTCACAAGACATGCCCCCAAAAGTGGAAACATTTCCAGTCCTGGTGCTCCCTCCTCAAGCATCAGAGGTTCTGTTTTCAAGATCATGGATTACTTATTGGAATTAAAGACACAGGATCTCTCATGAGTTCTACCAGAGGGCATCTAGCCATCACTTCTTTCCACTCAACTATTCATGGTTTCCCATTCTTTGCACACTCTACAGCAGCCAGATTCCTCCAGAGTCCATACTGCTTATTTTTCCCTGTTCAGAACCTGCACTTCCAGCAGGACCTCAATTTGGTTCTTAACGCACTAAGACCTCCCCCATCCGTTGGACTGATGGCTACCTGCTCTGTCCTCCAACTTTCCTTCAACACATCATTCATCATCAACATTACTTCAGTAAAATGAATAGGAGAGTTGGGAGCACCCATGGCTGACCCACCATATACCACCTTTTACAAATGCAAATTATACTATGCCCCCATCCATGCTTCCTCCCCAGGTCTCCTTAGAATATCTCATTACCCAGGAGATTCACTTGCCCCTGTTTTACCCAAAACCTCATGCCTCCAGAGAGGAATCCAGTTCTCAGTCACTGGATATCAGAAGGGCCCTTGCCTTCTCCCTGGGCAGACTTCCCAGATTCCTTATTTTAGTGGGGTTTTTAAAGAATTTCCCCCCCTCAAAAATGCATTTTTATATCACTCCATTTTGTATTCAACCCCCTGCTCAGCCCTCCATTTTAGATTATCTGAAATGTGCCCTGTTCACAGTAGTAAGGATTGGGATGGTGCTTGGTCAATAATCCTTGCCTTTATGGAACCATAGCTGATGTAATGGGTGGAACTGTTGTTCATCAACGGTTCTTTTCATTGGCAATATATTTTATAGGAGAAATTGTTTTATGTAACTAGGCTCAGAC